AGGTGACCTGAGAATCCACAAACACTGAGGAATGCAGGATTTAATAAATGTTCTCATGATAAATGATGTTTTATCAGAGGTTGAGGGGAAGGAATTGGGTGTACACCTAAGGAATCAGTCACCTGGAATGAAAGAAAATACATTTAAAACGAGACAGTTATTGGATGTTCTCCCATGTATGATGTAGTATAAATGAATGCAAACCAGCTTGAAAAAATAGGCTGTTTATACATGTTTATAACATGATACATTTTGTATCATGTTACCTGTATTTTTGTGATGTGAGTATTTAACATTATGGTATACAGAAGGAATAAGCACAGTCATCTTGAAGTTAATAAAATTAGCAGAGTTGTTGCTATCAATCCTGGAACAAAAACAACTCTGGAATCTCATTCAGCTGGGATAAATGGTGGTTTAACCTCAGTAGCATATGCAGGAGGCATCAGTCTGAGGCCATGGGAAACAGGACACTGAAGAAAGGACACCTAGCCAGGCCATGGCAAGAAGAGTGGGGCCATGGGAGTCAGTATCTTAATAGAACCATCCTATGTTTGGTCAGGTTTCTGGTTCTTGCTCTCAGCTGGTTCGGTACCTTTTACAAATAAGGTCATGTTCCAAGTTCTCGTTCCTGGTTGGATCCTTACCCTCAGAAGACCCCTATACCTTTTGGTGTTTGCCTTGCCCCCATCTTTGGATCTTGCCCCTGGACTCTGCAGTTTCTACATCTGTTATTTTGCTATTAAAGTCTTTATTTTTCAGGCAAGACCATCATTCTCATCCCTTTTTTTTGCCAGTTCCTCTGGCCAAGTCAAACTAGGGGTCACAGTGAGTGAAAACTACAATAACTGGTGTCCAAACAGGGACTTCATATTGAGGGATCTTCTTTGGTTCAATTTGGCTGGGTTTTGGCCAATCAATAGGACATTTTTCTCTGCTGTGGATTAAATCGGCAGGCCTGACACGGCTACAAGCAACCCTCGGATTTGGCTCAGATCTTTCGGATGCCTGCCTGAAAAAGCAGGTAAGCGGAGAATAGAGACACTTATTCCTGCTGTTCCTACCCCAACCAGGTGGGCACACCCCACTTAATCCTTATTCTTATGGGAATAAGACTGGCAAGACTAGACAGGGACATATACGACAGCTTTAAATTTTTCTTAGTAGTTCACAGAAGGGCCCAAAATTGTGAGGTAAAAAACCTCCTAAAACGAGTGTTTCAGAACCTTCCAGTGACTGCAGCCAGGAGTGCTGTGCCAAGCTCTGCTGCCGCCAGGGCCTTGCGCTCGCCCATGGGCGCTGCCTCAGCCCAGCCGCTTCTGCCTCGCCAGCTGCAGCCCGTGGGACAGGCTGCCTGCTGCCGGCTCAGCCCCTCACAGCACTGTGGGAACTGTCACGGACTGTGGAATTTTCTCGGCGGGATTTTGAGATTTTGTGGGTGTCACACTTCATGACCTAGCTACCAAGGGGGCCCTCTCATGATGCGTCTGCTGCCTGCTTTCCGTGTGATTCTCAAAACGCTCAAAGCCAAAAAGCATCAACTCCCAGTGCTCGGCCCCTCCCCGGCCTTGCTGGTGTGGCAGGAATCAGGGGGGTCCGGGGCCACTCCACCATGCAGGATCTCTTCCCAAACCGAGACTGCTTTTAACCCCTCTAACCCCCGCGGATGGAACTTGAGGGTGGAACCTGTCCCAGACACAGGACACAATGCAAATCTCTACCCCAGCCCCTTTCTCCATTGCAGAGGAAAAGATACAGCAAACATTACCCTAGAAATATTTGGAACTTAAAATTTTCTCTCAGACTGTTACAAACTATTAATTGGGTTAAGCCTTTACTAAAGATCATTCCTGTTGCTTCTTTTATTACATTCCTTTTTAATTTGGTAATTGATTCTGCTTATTTTACAGGTATTGTTAAGAGAGCTGAAAATTCCTTCCTAGAGACAGTTACTAATGATCAGTTATACTCCTTTCTTAAAACTTTTAATTTTTATTTTTTCTCAGAAACAGCATCCCTATTTTGTCATGCATATATGTTTTCATTCTTCTTTGCCAAGATTCCTAACAGAAGTTAATAAACAAACTAACATGCATTGTCACTACATGCTCTGGCTGCCAGAAATATTCTCTGCTGTCTGTTGAGGCAGGAGTAAATTCTAGAGGACTTCACAGATTACAAATCTGGCAGAGCAATGCTACACATTATGTGTCTTTTGGTTGCTTCAAATGCACACATGTTTCCATAGACACATTCTCAGGAGCAATCTTTGCCTCTGCTCACATAGGTGAAACAGGAAAAGATGTTATTAAACATTTCCTACAAGCACTTTCAACTCTAGGCATCCCACAAGAAAAAAAAACAGATCATGGACCTGCCTATATATTTTACCCCCTGTCGCATGTCTTCAATTGTAACTATTTATTCTCACATCTTTGGTGCATGGGTCTCAGCATTGGTAATTTTTACTTCTCAAGAAAAGTTACTTATTTAACATCGGAACTGTTGCCTTATTCCTTAGTAGAACCTTATACAGTAATATTTAATCTGCCTATCAGGCAAATGAGTTCAAATACCCAGAGCTTAACACAACGTAATCTTTTCAGTGATGTCTGCCAGCATAAACAATCTGGATGCACATTTTTTTCCCCAGATAGATATTTTGTCAAAAGCAACAGAAATTCATGATGTTCTGCATAATCCTTGGACATTGTGGCAGAGAAATACTGATGAGTTGTAAACAAGCCTTAATCACATAGGAAAATGCTTCTCCTTTCTTGGTCTGCTCTAATTCTCTCATTTAGCTGTAACTTGCATATTTCAGAGCATTACAATGACAAATGTAATATACGTGTACAAAATATACATAATAGCCTATGAGAGAAAGAGGAGGGACACAATATTTAGGAATATTTAGGGAAATGATATTCAAGACTGACAAGATGAAACACATTTAGAGTTTGGGATTCCCAAGTGCTCTGCAACAACATCTGCAAGAAGACTGTGTAAACCTTCAAGTTCTTAGCACTTTCTCACCTGCAAATGTAGAGGTGAAAATGAAGACAGAAAACTAAGGAAACTAAGGAAAAGACCCAGTAATGGAAAAGTTCTCAGAATGAGAAGTGAGAATCAAAACTGGTTATTCCTGATTTAATACCATTTGCTTTGCTCAGTGATCATCAACACGAGGAGTTCAGATAAATAACATTTTCCTCACCTGTCTGCTGTGGACAGGAAAGATCAGGAGCTGCTGGGGGAGATCCTCTTCTTTCATTTCACTCACCTGTTAGGACATGTTTCCCATAAGAGACACTGTAAGGATCAGCTGTTCCCTGGAGATGTGAAACCTGGAAACTCCTTCATAAAGCTTTTGGAGTGAAACTCTTCTGACTTTACTGCACACTTCTTCTGGAGTAATGAGAACAGAATGTGGCAGAAAACAGACCAAGCAGCAGAGATCTTTCTGTGGAGTAACTTTTTTCTTGTAATCATTTACACCATTGTTAATTGTGCATCATTTGCACCTTAACCTAAAGCATTTTTTCCTCCAGTTTAACCATTTAAGTACATCACAAATTCATCATGATGAAGAGAAGCATTAAAAAGAAATGCATTTTTTTCCTTCCACTCTGAAAAAAATTGACAATATTACAATGGTAGGTTTTGGATGTTGATTACTTGCTGATACCCACCTCAGGACAAACATATCTTCTTATTAATTTCTCATTTATTTATAATGTTCAAAGCCCTGTAGTTTCACCCATTTTTAAGGTAGATGTTTATACAAATTGCAGTAAAAATAAATTAGACCTCTGTATGAACTTGAGTCTTTCTCTCTCCCATTTGAATTACTTGCACTTCCTTCCAAACATTTGTAGGTTGATGGCAAACGTGGCTCCAATACCACATATCCTAAAGAATGTTTTCTCCTTTTTCTTTCACAGTTTGTTTTTCCTGATGGTCTCATTCTGCTCTGGGTTTATACAACCTGCTCTCTGTCTTGTGTTATGGCTGGTACACATGATGGAGAATTTCTTCCCTCATTTCCCAGATCACTCTTGCTCTTTTTATAGCTTTGCCCACTCTTTGCTCTTTAGAGCCTTTCTCTGGATTTTCCCAGTAACTGTCTTTGGCAGATCCTGAACAAACTCCACCTGAAAGGCAAAAATGCTCCCTGTAGCCAAATAATTTGTGGGTAATTTACCAGGTGAAACAAAAGATTGTGAAAACAATTTTAGCATGGGATAGCTGGGATAAAGGATGGGAAGCTGTACAACCAGGGCTGGAATGGTGAAATTCCTTACTACACCTTGTACTACTGCACAGACACTACTTGCAGGGAGACATATCACAATCTCTAGGAGCTGAGAGCTTCAGCTTTCAGGACAGGGAGTTACTGGTGTCTTTCCTAGTGAGAAGACATGGATTCCAACCTACTGATGCTAACAGGAACTTTTGTTTTGATTTAGGTGTCTGTCAGAGGAGAGGTCAAGGTAGAGCTGGTTAGAATGGAATGCCTTGACCATTTGAGCTGCTGTGAAAACTCCAGGATTCCATGAAGAAAGACTGGGCCCTCATAAAGTAAAATTTCACCACCATTGCCTCCCTCTGAGTCCATTCTAGCACACACAGCCAACCCAAGGCTACAGGTACAACAGACCCTATTATTGACTTTTATTTTATCTACCTCTGGCTGCAGTGTTTTGTCAGAAAGCTGTTGAAAAAGAGCTGAGGCAGGACAAAAATTGCTCAGTTTCTGGTACAATGAGAGAACCTGTCCTTTTGGGCTGGACTTACCTTCCTTGGATACTTGTATGGTGCAGTCACCTTCTTGACATGCTGTTGAAGCTCATGAATTAATTTTTCTGGATCATGTGATACAAAAGCAGGAGCTAAAACAATGAAGGCTTTGACCACCTGTGCCACAAAAATGAAGGGGTTCCATTAACTTCCAGAGCTGGCAATAAGGAAATACATCTGCTGTGAAAAGTGAATATCAAAATTCAGAATGCCAATATTTGATATTTTTCTTTAATTTCCCTTTTCATTAGCTGTTTATTACAGAATGCTGTGCTATGAAGGACCCATTCTGCAGCAGAGAATGTTTTCCTATTTCCCCCTTGTTTTCTTAACTTTATACATCATTAAACTTTCAAAAAGTTCTAGTATGGAAAATAAAGAGAGATTAAAATCTCATCCCAGCTGCTCAAAGAAATGTTGCAAAGTTGGAAAATATAAAGCAAAAATTAAACACTGGATATCATTGCCTCCATATGCTTAGAGGTAAATGAGAAATAATCAAAGTTTCATTGCTTAGACAAAAAGATCACATGAATACTCTGAAAAATCATTTTTTTTCCCCACATAAAACCCTGCAAAGGAATAATTCTAAATTTTTGATATCTGTCAAGATACGCATTTTAAAAATGTTTATGCTCACAAAATTTCAAAATATGCAACATATTGAATTCCAAGGAATCCTAGTACATATAAGGCAGTTAATACTTAGTAGAAAGGGTATTTATTTCACATTTTTTCCTATTTTGTTTTACCTCCCCTCGCACTGGGTCAGGACTGCTGACAACAGCCGCCTCTGAGACTGCTGGGTGCTCAATCAACGCACTCTCCACTTCAAATGGGCCAATGCGATACCTGGGGAGCACAAAGACAGCTCAGCCCAGCAGCATGGAGCAGTCCTTTGCTCCTTCCAGGCTGCGTTTCATGAGGCACATCTAAAAGGAAATGCCTTACCCAGCAGAGTTAATGATATCATCAGCTCTTCCAACAAACCAGACATATCCCTCTTCATCCATAACGCCTCTGTCCCCGGTGAGATAAAAATCTCCACACACAGAGGCAGCAGTTTTCTCTGGATTATCCTGGCAAAAATCAAACATTTCAGAAAAG